GGCGGGGGGCAAGTGGGGAGGAGACTGTGGCTGGCCCGTGAGGCGGCATCTGTGCAGCGAGGAGCCTGGACCCCCCCAGCTGTGGGGAGAGGGTGTTTTTCTTGGCCCGGGCTGGCCCTTTCCAGCACAAACACACAGAGCCTGCGATTCATGGTGGGGCCTGGGAGGCGGCGAGGCCGGAATGGGGCTGGGGGTGGAGGGTTTATATAGAGAGAAACATAAACTGGCTGCGCCCCACCCCGGGCTGGGGGCGCACAGTGAGCCATTCAGCCCAGTCCCGGCCCCATCTGCTTCCGGCCCTACCCCTACCCCACCCCCCGCCTCACGCAGGGAGCCCTGCTCCAGCCAGGGAAAAGAAAACGGCCTTGGAGGAGCTGGTGAACCCTCCCCTGCCCACACCCCCTCAGGCTGGCTTTCCCATAATGCTCAGGGGCTTTGGCTAGAGGACCACTGAGGCCGCTGCACTTGGGGCAGTTGTGAGTGGGGCGGGTCCGTGCCTGGTCTCCAGGGCAGAGCTGAGTGCGCTGTGATATTAAGGGCAGCACAATCCCCCCTTAGGCCCATGTGGGACAAGAACTTGCTGCAGAAGCGTCTGCACATCCTGCTAAGGGCATATCTACCCTGCACGCTGAGCTGGGGCTGTGGCTCCATGTTCCCAGCCCACTTGAGCATCGACCTGGCACAGTACACCATCCTGCTACCCCCAGCGCCAGCCTGCCCCTGCCAGACCCAGGTCCTGCCTGCCCTCGCCTCGCCACCCTTCACCCACGCCCTGCTGCCTAGCTCCGCACCAGCATGGCAGCCCCCTGGCCTGGCTCCATGCTCTCAGCCCTCCCAGCAGCCAGGAAACGGGAGGCGCCAGACCGCTGGATGGCACAAGCGGGGTGGGGCTATGTGCCCAAGGGTACAACCTGGGGAGCAGGGCCTGGCAATCCATCAGGCTGTGTCATGCCACCTGCCCACCCTCCTGCCCTGCCCTCCAGCCCCTGGGCACCCGCCTGGGAGCGGCTCAGAGCTCACCCAACAATCGCAGGCACCCTAGCAACGCTGTGCGGTGCCCAGGCTTCGGGGTGTGTTGGGAACAGGCAAAGGAGGGGTGTGGAGAAAACCAGGGAGGGTGTTGGCTCAGTTAGGGGTTTGGGGGGCGGGGGACATGATGGATACGCATACGGATCAGGGAGAGGTGGGCTGGAGAGTACAGGCCAAGAACCACCCAGCCTCCCACCTCAGGAGATGGGACACGGCTACAGGATGAACCATGTCGCCTGAATCTGCAGCCAGACCCCCAGACACCTGCCCTTGCTCCCCACGGCAGCCGGGAGCCCATCAGCCAGTGCAGGGAGAGCACAAGCCATGGCTGGCTGGGCACTAGATCGTGGGGCTGGGGCTGAGCGGAGCCCCAGGCATGTCAGCCTTGGCAGTGCCACAGCTGCACGTGCCAGCACCAGGCACCAACAAGCCCCTAATTACAGGGTGCACAGATGCCCCGCCAGGATGGAACGGTAGAATTAGGCAGGTGGGTTCTGCCAAGTCAGGATTTCTTTGGGACAACATCTGCAGCCCAGGCCAGATGAAACGCCTGACGTGCCTTACAAAGGGGATTCCTTCCTGACCACCCCACGCCCTGGAGAATGAGAATGACTCAGCCAGGAGCCATAAATCTCTATTGACAATAGTCAGAAAATTAGCTGGGCCTTTCAGTGAGCCATCTGAGGGACTGGACTGAGTGCCACCCGCCTGGCCTGCCTCCCTGTGCAGCAGTGAGGCTGAGTAGCCAGGCAAATCCCCTGCCCCACCCCAGCTGGGCCTATACTCCCCCCAGAGTAATGGGGTGGGGTACTTCCTTTAGGAAGGAACAGGCAGGAGAAAGGCTATTGGTTGCCTCTTGCCTATGGACAAAAGGACCCCCCCATC